AAGTGTTATAACAAGTCTCAGTTAGCTTAACGCAGTACACGTAGCAAGGGTTTTTTAAATAATATAATAAATAAAAACAAAACAGATAGAATAGAAAAAGAATAGAGCAAGCTAGTGTTAGAGGTCTATTTAACTATTATTTAATAGTTAATATTTAATAGTTAATAATATTATTTTCTTGATTTATTTAACCAAGAACATGTGACTGGGACAGGAATTTACATTAGATTTTTTTTTTATATAAATATATATATTTTTTAATTTATATATATATATATATATATATATATATATAAATGCAGCTTCTTTGATACTTTGTTTCTAATGCATTGACATTCACATTAAGTTTGACTCAAGTATCCAAATACTTATTTGGGGTCACAATATATATATAATGGCAGAGAAGATAAACAAACCCGAATTGCTGGGGGAGATCATATTTAGTTGTGTCTCGCGGCTCAGAAGTATTCATATTTTCAGAGCACACTCAGACTAAACCTGAATTACATTCATTAAAGATATCCTGAATTACATTCAACCCTATGTGTGTGTGTATGTGTATATATATGAGTGTGCACTAAAGCTGATTATAGATTCCTTTGCATTCCCCGTCTTCCCTCAATGCTACTTTCTCCTTTTTAATAAAGGCCAGAGAGATAGTGCTATGCAAAGAGAAAGACACATGTCTATGCATGCCAAAAGCAATCTTCTCCAAGCTCCCAGCGAGACCCGCTGTCTCTCTGCTGACCCAAAGTGCATCTCTCTGCCTGGGCCTGACAACCAACCCACAGCAACACACTCTTCAGATCCAGAACTAACTCATTCTGCACATCAGAGACACTCAAAGACCGGGCTTATAATGTGAGAGATCTAGTTTTATCATGCTGCGGCACTTGCTTGCAGATCAGACGGGGTGTAAAACTTATATTTATATTGCATTTAATTGGTGGAGCAAGCAGATTAATTCCCAAAAAAATTTAGTCGTATTTCTGCATGAATAATCGAGAAGCCAAACATCAGGATATGCAAATAATGTCATCACTGATTGGTGCAACAGCTTGGAGCATATTCAAACTGTGTGAATTGCACTTAGCAACAAAAAAATGTGATAACAACGGCAAAATGTGGAAAGCTTGACAGTGAAAACAGACCAAATGGACTGCTGCATCCAATTAAGAACTGTTATTGACTTTACACATGAATAATAAGTATATAAGAAGTTTGCATGTGAAGTAGATGAGAAGTCAACATACTGGAAACATTCATAAATATCATGAATGCATTGACTTCAATGTTCAGGAAAATTAAAATATAGCATACATTATAAAAAAATAGCCACATATCTTAAAACCAATTAAAATCAAGTACAATTTCACCTCATTTTCTAAAAGTGGCCCCCAAGTAATTAAGAGTATCCCTGCAGTACATTATCAGCTGGACTAAACAAAGACTGGATTTAAACCATGTAAGGTCTAGATGTTAGGTTGGGAAATGGAAGAACATCAGCAAATATAATCATCAAATATAATTTTTTTCTGCTTCCACTACTAATGTCTCAACTCAACAGTGCTCAAGTGACATAAGATGAACAGGGAATTCTGGAAACAGGTTTCTAAAAATAGTTTCTCTATGTAAATATGGAAGGGTCGTGTGGAATCTGATTGGTTCCATCATCTCAACACATCCATCAACACGTCCGTCCAATGAAACAACTGTGACTGTATCCTGCAGCTTGGAGATGTGGAAAAATAACTACACACACTCTCACGACGTCTAAATGCGAAACTGTTATGTCTGTCTGACACTTTTCAGAGAGAGACCATCTTCTGAGACCATCTTCATCACCGCCTCCAAGATTCGGTTAATTGTGCCTCATAATAAAGCAATTAGGATGCAAAAGAAAATCAAACGACCTCTGTTTTACTGTCACCCGTCTTAACGCAAACTAATTATCTCCAAACACTCAACAAAAGCTTCCGGCACTAGATGCACTGCAGACAGTTCATTATGACATGAAGACAGACAGACAGAAATATAAAACAATTAATACACAGGGTCAAATTTATCAATGTGACACAACAAATTACAGAAACCGACTGAACTGTAAGAGCCCCTCTGTTTAAAAACAGCACAGATGACAGATGGTGGAGCGTTTCTGCAGTGTGATTCTTCTCGCTCAGAGTTCAGAGTTTCGAAGGCCTGCAGTTCTAGATTTGGTGAGCGTGAACGAAACCCACGCACAGACAGGAAAAGTGTTCCATCATTACGGGTGGAGCCGCACAAGATCCAGGCTAACATCTTGAAACAAAATCTATGATCAAAACTGAGGTAAGCAGAGCTATTTACCTTTCCATAGTCGTCAAACTCAGTGAAGAGCTCCAAGTCGTCGTCTAAACTGTCTCCGGAAGTCTCCACAATCAGACCCACTCCATCGTCAAGAATCTCCTCTGTGAAACCACAATTCCTTTTTTTAATTTTCAGATAACTGCATTAAACCTTGCAATGTTTCTGGATGTTATATTAAAATGTTTTAGAGATTATCTGTGCATTTGTTTTAATATTTTGTCTATCATAATGCATTCAGCTATCAATAAGAGTGTAAAGTTAAACACATTTAAAACATTTTCCTAAAAACTCCCTTAGAAAGACAGAGCATGAACCCCTTGTTTATATTGTATAAAGGTGTTGCATTTTAAAGGGGTCCTATTATGCTTTTTCACTTTTTCAACTTTAGTTAGTCTGTAATGTTGCTGTTTGCATAAAAAAGATTGCAAAGTTATAAAGCTCAAAGTCCACTTCAAATGGAGATATTTTATTTAACAGAAATCACTTTTCAAAAACTATAACGAACGACTCGTTTGGACTACAACGCATATTTTCCGGGATTTGTGATATCACAAATATCGACGAATGGGACGAGACCTGGTCTAGACGTTCATGCCAGACTGGGGAGAGGTGTTGTAATAATGTCAAATATGTGAAAAATAATGTGTTTTCTAGTATGAGAGCCTGTTCTAGTACACCCCAAAACAAAATCAAGACTTTGTAAAAGAGCATAATAGGACCCCTTTAACATGCACTAGTTAGCACAGTTAGCATTATAGCATCGTAAGTCACAAAAACAGTCAAATAAATGGGTCAGCGGATCTCTGGCCTCCCCTCACCCTGACTCTGAGAGAAGATGTCCGTGTAGACGTTGTCCACAGCGTCCGAGCGTCTCGGTGGCAAGAAGTAGAGCTGCCGGCGGTCAACAGGGGGCAGTGTGTTAACGGTGAGCGAGAGAGAGACCTGAGCAAACGCCACCTTCATGTCAGCGAAGGCCAGAGTACGGGCATCCTTCCTGTTCAGCTGCAGAATCTCATCTCCTGCGTTCAGACCTGCAATCATTTAAATATGGTAATATTTCATGAATAATTAAGTAGTGAAATACTGCAATCATAGACTTCTTGAGACATGCAAAATGGATGAAATGGTTCAATACATAGAGCTTGCAAGCAATTAATAAAAACAAAGAGCAAAGGAAGAATTTCTGAAGTTTAACAAAGGACATAAAAAACTGTGAAGATCATGAGTTAAATATACCATGACATAAAAAATGGACCCCTTTTTAATTACTTAAAACATGATTTTGGTCTTATTTTGCGTGATTCATTAATGCAAAAATAAATAAATAAATAAATACATTTTGTTTCTCCTCCTTGATCCATAATGAATACAATTAAAAACAAAAACTGCAAAAATAATAATAATAAATACAAAAATAAAACTACTGAAATAAAATAAAAGCTAATATAATATAAAATAAAAATTAGATTAAAAACTTGCTAATACTAAACGTAGAAATGTTGCATTGGCAATCAACTGAAATAAAATAAGCTAGAATAAGTGACTAAATTGAATAAACTGAATTACTAAAACTCCATTTTGATATGGAAACCCCACTTTTAACAATCCAATGAGACTGCAACATATAAAATGAAGTCCTGCCCTACTTTTTATTTTACTTAAATATTCTACTTCAATTTGAAATATGTCATATAAGTAATACAATGCCCTGTCTTCACTGATGTGAAGGCCAGCAGCAAAATAAATAGATGCAATAAAAAAAAGAGATTGTCTCTAGCTTTTCCATTCAGCCCTTCAAGCTTGCGGGTTTGACCCAGTTCTCTGGGCGATGTGAAATGTCAGCAATAAGCCAGTCGGACCTGATCCTGCCACACTGATCACGCAGACATCACTCAGAGAGACAAGAGTCTTATACGGCATGATGACAGTATCTGGATGTCAAGATAAGCTTGTTTTGATGGTCATTTAAAGGGGCCATATTCTATATTCTGCCCTGAAATCCACTTATAATATTAGCTAATGTCTAGTGAAAAGAGTAAGAGAAATGTTGAATATAAATGTACTTAAAATTCATTCAATACTGTAAAACAGTTCAGTGCAAAGTGTTGTTGTTTATTTAGAACGCTTTAATCTCCAATGTTAGAATTAAATGGGCCAATTCTGCTACTGTACCTTTAAGGTTTCTGTGTGCAAAATGCCTGTAAATGCTCAACAAAATCTTCAAAACGAGCAAGGAAAATCCTGTTTTGCATGATACGTCCGACTTTAATCGTCTCTCTGATTCCTTCTATCGTTTGTCATTATTCAGAGTTTAGAGGGGTTGAGAATAAATCTGCAATCTTTGGCTCTCAGAAACCCCATAGAGCTGACAACATGTTACATAACACCTGGAGCACAGCACAGATATCACAGCAATTACTTTACAGATGCTGAACAGACAGAGAGAGAGAGAGAAAGAAAAGAACAAACCAAGAGACAGGGGTGAAAAGAGAAAGAGAATGCAATTAGGAGGTGAAACGAGCTAATGAACCTTTAGCGAATGCTAATCCTCCAGCTCTCACGTCAGTGATATAGAGCTGCTGTACGCTGTCCTCTTCCACCACAGAGATAGAAAACCCTGTGAGAGACAGAGAGATGAAGTGATAGACATCCTAATCAAGTATAAACATGAAGCAAACCTCGAAAGGGTTTGAACCTACAACCTTTCAAGTACAAGGTCAGATTATTAAAGGGATAGTTCACCCAAACATTTTAATTCTGTCATCATTTATTCTCCATCATGTCTTTTTAAACCCATCTGAATTTTTTGTTCTTCCATGGACCATAAATTATGGTAGAATTATTCATTTTTCACGGCACTGTCCCTTTAAATACCACCACCATTATATAGACATGTATTTGTATAAATTAGCATATTCTCTTCAGAATTTCCCATATGCAGTAATAAACAGAATTGAATACAAAAATGCAAGAAAAAAATAAATAAATAAAAATGCAAAAATAAAAGTAATAAATACAATCTTCTACAACTCAAAGTATTAAAGTATTAAAAATTGTTTTCGGTAATTGAATTAAACCTGAAATAAAAAATAAATATTAAACGAAAAACGTAAATGTAAAAAAAATATATCTTTTTTTTATTTTGCCTTTTACAACTAATTGAAATACGGGAGTTGAAGTACTAAACTCACTAAATAAAATAAAAATAAAATACAGATAAAGAGAAAACTAAAATATAAAAATGACCAAAGCACATAAAATAACTAAAATAACTCAAATGAACATGAAAATTGAAAAATAAAAGCTAATTCAAATCATTAATAAATACCATAAGAGTATATGAATAATACTAAAATAACATTGCTACAACTTATATCGACATTTTGTGATGTGGCTGTAGAATCACCGAAAAGCAACTGTTTTCAGTAGTTAAATTTAATATAATCTGTCAACCAAAGTGTCCAAAAACATGCAGTTTACTGAGATAAAACTAGTTGGATTCGGGTGGTCATGTGATCTCATTATGTCGTCCTGCATAAAATGACCATATAAGATAAAATAGCGTTTATTAAGCTACTACTGTGAGTGGACGTACTCGCATATATGTAAACTTTTTATTGAACGAATCATTTAAAAACTACTGGGAACACTTCCAGGCACCGTTGTAAAATTCCCAGTATAAATGTAAAACAGACATGATTTGATGAACATAACACATTTTTGGCTCTCACCATAGCCGATCATGCAGGACTCATCCCGATCAAACTGGATGACCTTCCTGATCTTACAGCACAGCTCGATTTCCTTATACAGCTGTGAAGAAGAGCACAGGACATTATTCATTAATATTCCACTGAATGCGACTTTGATATTCCACATTCATAGAGCATAAACAACACACACATGGGATGGCATGAAAGGGCGAGAGTGACAGAATACAGATCACATTTCACAGGCGGAGAAATTTATGTTCCTGTTTGATCGACTGTGTCTGACCTGCACACTCAAAACATAATAAATGAAGACATAATAAATCCAGGATGATGGATGTAGAGAAGTGAAGCTTCGAAAGAATGAAGCAATCCCATAGCTTAAAATGGTCAATTTTAGGTCAAAAGGAAACAGGACCAGCAAAACATCTCCTTTCGTGTTCCACAGAAGAAATATTAAAGCGTGAAGGAGAGAGGAAGAGACAGGGTGTTTGGATGAAGTGTGATGTCCCAGCAGGATGAAAGTAATGAGAGAGCATCTAAGCAGCGGGTGTGAGAGCGAGTTTAACTCCAAACCTACCAGATCATAAATATCCTCCTCCGGTTTGGGGATATAAAACTGCACTTGGTTCTCAATGAGGAACTTAAGCCGCACGTAGTGTTTAGTGGGGTCCAGTTGGTGAGCCTGGAGAGATGAAAGCAGACACACATTTAATGGATGAAGAGCAATGCCAAGACATGTTACTGGGCTGTATCTTCTTCTCAGTGGGCCAGATGGACAGGAATCACACGCTAAAAGGCCCAAACGCTCATATCAGAGAGGATGCAGCACATTTTCAAGCGAATAAATTGCTTTATACAGGGTGGACACAAGCTTGAGACTTTAAAAACCCTCTGCGGGACACAGCATCTGAGTTTACAGCACCAGTGACCTTCAAACTGACATTCAGTTCCTTGAAGGCTGAAGCGACTCTCTGAATGTAAAAAATCTGGCATCAGAAGAAAATGCTGAATGTTTCTGGCACTAGAAAGATCTTGGGTTTCCTGGCGTTACCTTGCAGATCGTTTCCAGCATGTCGAGGGCCGACTCTCCGGGTTGGATGATGGCTAACACAGGCTGGTCGTTTGGCAGCAGCACCCATGATGGAGTGAGGTGGTCTCTGGACCAGATGTCATGATCTGCGCTGGGTCTTGGCAGACCTTTCACTGGGGTCTTGGTGTCTTTCTGTAGTGTGATAAATGAAAGCACAGTGAAGCCGCAGCTGGGAACGAGGCCTTTAGAGATGCTATTAATCATGTGAAATGATGACCATCCTCATCTCATCATTTCTAAGAACTCATCGCCTATCTGAGGTGTACTGTATGCTAATAATTTCTAGCATAAAAAAATATGTAATTGGAAAATCATAAAAGCATAATATATTATTTCTGCAGTATTTATTTTGTGCAGAGTATGCACATTTTCTGTATGCATAAAATACATTTACATACATGTGACAAAATGTACAGTATACAACTAGAGCATATTGTTCTGTGTACCGTTTCCAACAATACAATGCGCTTAACTTCATATTCAAATTCCACTGTGATGATTGAACTGGAAGTAATATCAAAAATGATTTTTAAACATTTGAACGGACTGCCAAAAGTTACACTTTTATGCAAAATTTGATTAAAATTAGTGTTTTTATTTCAGTTTTTTTAAACACTGTGACAGTATGTGACGATAATATAGCATACTATCATTGCATACTATTTTTTAAAGTGTGCAGTATATATTACGCTACCATTCAAAAGTTTGGGGTCAGTAAGATTTTAATTTACTATTTTTTTAAATAAATTCATTATTTTATTAATCAAGGATGCATTACATTGATCAAAAGTGGCAGTAAAGATATTTATAATGTTAAAAAGATTTATATTTCAAATAAATGCTGATCTTTTGAACCTTAACTTGCATCAAACATGCATCATGGGTTCCACAAAAATATGAAGCAGCAACTGTTTTCAACATTGATAATAATCAGAGATGTTTCTTGAGCAGCAAATCAGCATATTAGAATGACTTCTGAAGGATCATGTGACACTGAAGACTGGAGTAATGATGCTGAAAATTCAGCTTTGATCACAGAAATAAATTATATGGTGAGCAGAAGAGACTTCTCAGAAACATTAAGAAATCTTACCGACCCAAAACTTTTTCAGCCATTAAACATGGATAAAAATGCACTGTAGTCTCCCATTCCACCATCTTTCTTTCTCTGCTTATGATGGAGTGAGTGAATCAGAACATCAACACTTTTATCTGCACCCCAGGTCAGTGGATTATAGCACAACCACCTCTACTGTTGCTACACCACGAATGCCTCCGCCAACCTCCGCCAACACCAGTGATGAATATACGCCCACATCTCTGCCAACCCTCTCCAGAGATCTGGCCCAGAGCGCATCTCTCTGAACAGGGCAATTTTGATTTGGAGCAGTGGGCTCACATAGTATTTTGTGTGTTTTTGCCACTTTTATAGATGTAGTGTAGTATTGAGAGATGCATGTTTCTTACCGTCGTCTCACAAGAAGAACCCTCAAACATGCCTTCTAGAGGACTTTTAACTTGGTCATCTCCTTCTGCAAAAACCTGTTTAAAAAGATCATCTAACATTCAGCAGTTACCCATCAAAACCAAAACACGAAAACCAACTGTATGTGTTTTCTGTAGCATTCATTTCATCTGCTTGTTGAAAAAAGTGCTGTTGACCATCTCATATTGTCTTTTGTCCTTTGCTTGAGATGCTGGTTTGTCTTGACCAGCAAGATTTGCTGGTCAACCAGCACCACCAGCATGTAGCATGTCTGGACCAGCATGCAAATTAATGTGCATTTTATTTTTTAAGCAGGGCCGGTTGATCTGTGCATATGCATGTTTATGTGTTCTGGAAGAAAACACCAAGCGTGAATTAAGTGTGTGTGTAGTTTACCTGGCTGATGCTGGGATGACCTTTACTCTTTCTCTTGGAGTGGGTGTCCAGACCCCATAGTGAGGAGAAGCGACTCTTGCGTTTGCTGGTGGAGCGCGACATCGCCTGTGTCCTACGCCTCACGCCACTCTCAGTGCGAGCCGCCACCTACAGACACAAAACAGCCGCATGAGGTACAGGGACAACATTCATACTGTGTGTCCCCGCGATCAAACTGACTAGACTGCTCCTAGCAGGAGTCTGAGATATGAACACAGCTGCTTGGTAAAAACCGTTCTCATTGATTCAGTCACACTGATGTTCAGCCGTGAGCTTCATAAGCAAAGGTGTTCAAGTATCTGGGTATGAATGGGTCATTAGCTGGTCTAGCTGGTCATGAGCTAGCCTAAATGGGTCATTAGCTGGTCTAAATGGGCCATTACAGGAGCAAGCTGGTTTTTAACTAGTCTAAATAGGTAATAAGATTTTCTAAAACTGCTCACTAGCTGGTCTAAATGGGCCATTAGCTGGTCTAGCTGGTCATGAGCTAGTCTAAATGGGTCATTAGGTGGTCTAAACTGGTCATGATGTGGTCTGAACTGGTCGTTTGCTAGTCTAAACAGGTCATGAGCTGGTCTAAACTTGTCATTAGCTGATCTACATGGTCATTAGCGGGTCATTAGCTAGTCTACGCTGGTCATTAGCTGGTCTAAACTGGTTGTTAGCTTGTGTAAATGAGTAATTTACTAAACTTAACGGGTCATGAGGTGGTCTAAACTTGTCATTAGCTGATCTAAATGGCTCATTAGTTTGTCTAAACTGGTCATGAGCTGGTCTACACTGGTTGTTAGCCTGTCTAAATGAGTCACTTACTAAACTAAACTGGTCATGAGGTGGTCTGAAATGGTCCTTAGCTGGTCTAAATGCGTCATGAGCTAGTCTAAACTGTCTGTTAGCTGGTGTAAATGGATCATTAGCTTGTCTAAACTGGTCATGAGCTGGTCTAAATGGTCATTAGCGGGTCTAAATGGGTCATTAGCTAGTCTATATTAGTCATTAGCTGGTCTAAACTGGTGGTTAGCTTGTCTAAATTAGTCATTTACTAAACTAAACTGCTCATGAGGTGGTCTGAAATGGTCCTTAGCTGGTCTAAATGCATCATGAGCTAGTCTAAACTGTCTGTTAGCTGGTGTAAATGGATCATTAGCTTGTCTAAACTGGTCATGAGCTGGTCTAAACTTGTCATTAGCTGATCTAAATGGTCATTAGCGGGTCTAAATGGGTCATTAGCTAGTCTATATTAGTCATTAGCTGGTCTAAACTGGTGGTTAGCTTGTCTAAATGAGTCATTTACTAAACTAAACTTCTCATGAGGTGGTCTGAAATGGTCCTTAGTTGGTCTAAATGCATCATGAGCTAGTCTAAACTGTCTGTTAGCTGGTCTAAATGGGTCATTATGTGTTCTAAACTGGTCATGAGATGGTCGAAACTGCTTGTTAGCTGGTCTAAATGCATCTTTAGCTAGTCTAAACTATTCATTAGCAGAGTAAGCTAGATGAAAGCTAGTCTAAACTGGTCATTAGCTGGGATAAACTGGTCACAAGTTGGTCTAAACTGGTAGCTGGTTTGTTGTTGGTTTTTGCATGCTTGCACCAGCTAATGATTAGCTAGAAACTAGCTGCCATGTTCCAAAATTCAGCTGCTTTTCCTGATTTTTAGTTGAAAAGCCAATGTCCTGATCAGAACTGCTTGAGATTTTTTCCCTCAGCAAACACAAAGCTCACAAACACAGATTGTTATTAATGGTGACTGTGTAATCAAGGCATTTCTGGAGTTCTCCTGTATTTAAATCCCTAATAAACTAAGAAAGCAGAAGCATGTGCGTTTGCTGAATAAAAACAGCCCTGAAAAGACAAATACCCATCACACCATTTTCAGGATAAAGTTTCTCCATAAACTGCATTCAGTCTTTTCACAATTGTTCTTGCTCTTACGTTCTCAAAAGAAATGTCAGAGGATGGATTTCATCCATCACAGCTCTTTCATTCTTTTTTCAGCAAAAACAGTTGGTAGATGTGACTTTCCCTACCAAAATCGAATAAACACTTATTCATTCATAAATGAGCAGCAGACACACAAAAATAACTTGCTTCCTGTGGTCACTCGGGTCCGGATGAATTTTAAAGGTTAGCGAAGTGTTTGGCGAGTTCTTTTGAGTGTCATTCAAAAATTATACACGCTCGTTGTGTTGAACGCACTGTGGCATTTCTGAGTCTCCTAATGGAGAAAAGCACTCCGGCTGCATCAAAAACACTCTCCACTGCTCTGAACCAAGCCATTATTCGTGAAGAACAGCACACGGGCCAACAGCACTTCATTTGGACCCAACACTTATCCTCTCTCTCCATCCTCTCAGAATGTGAATACTGAAGAGCATCCCCACACCCTCCACCCAAAGAAATTCATCCAAGCTGCATAGACAAAAATAAAATCTCCCTGTATCCCAGTGTCCTCCAGCTCCTACACAGAACGCCAGAGCTGGAGGCGAATCTGAGGATGGATGGTATTGATCAGCCGGAGCCGTGGCCCACATCCAAGGCAAAATACACCGACCAACCCTTCAACTACTGTTTCCTTTTATGCCAAAATCCATTACCCACGTACACCAGCACTGACGGGTGGGAAGGAAGCAGGTTAATACATGCATTCTGGGTAAAAATAGAGCGATACTGATGCTCTTGATGTAGGTTTCTAAGCAATGCTTCTGTTTGAAATATGTTAGATACCAAACATTTGAAAACTTATAAGTCGAAGTAAGTTCCCTTAATGACACCAGGGAGTTGTTTTCTATGTCTACTTGAAAGGAGAAAGACTGAAATCTCTAAAACTGTCTGTCAATATTATATTTCACAAAAAAAAATCTACAGTAACAATTTTGATTCTTTTCCTGAAATTACACAAAAATGTGCTTTTTCCTCTATATATATATTAAAAATTATTTTATTTATATATATTACATTATATATACACATACATACATACACACACACACACACGAAAAAAAAAATTATATCTACCTATTTACCTATATAGAAATATCTATATCTATACATAGGAACAAATTGATTGAATAAATGATGGAAAACTGAGGGATAATTACCAGTGCATGGAAGGAAGAGACTGAAAAAATGCCCAGTCGGCCCATGGCCAGTTTGGTGGGACGAGAGGCGAAGGCCAGCAGGCGTTTGGGGTTGGGAAGCTCGCCGCCCTGCAGGCTGGACAGGTAACAGCGGAAACGGAATAGATCCATGTGGAACTGCTCTAAATTCTGCTCCCACAGGAAAATCTGTGAGGAAAAGAGAGAAAGTTATCGTTAGAACATGGTTTATAGCAGGCCAGCGGCATGTAAGAGTTGTCAAAATGATTATTCTCTCGAAAAACAAGGTCATTACATTACATTTAGCCTTAAAGGACCATCTCTAGATATCTAGAAGCTTCCGTGCCTTGTGTTTGGTCTGGTTTGATCTAATAAAATGGTGTTTGGAGGGCAGTGGAGTGGGTTTATACACCAGTGGATTTATACTCCTCCCAGCCACTTTTTTTTTTGGAAGACGCGGCGGAGGGGGCAGCGGTCCAGACAACACACGAAGTAGCAAACAACAGCGCCACATATTCCACTGGCAGAGAGGTCTGTGACTCCCTAGGAACTCGGCCCTGCTGCCATTCACCAGGGCACAATGTGTGACCCGACGCTGCCAAAATTAAATACCCACAGGCACCCGCTAACCCTCCTTCTGATGGGCCGCGGGCCATTCGGAGCTCTGTGTCTTGCGTAAACATCCATTGAGTGGAACGTGAACTTTTGCAGCAAGTGTATGGAGTGAATCAATGTTCTGTCAACATTATGACAGCATCATGATGAAAATCAGCAGTAATACAGCGGATTCGGAGGATGTTTGTGCCGTAACGCTTTATGATATTGATACAATAATTATGGAAAACAAAACAGCACTGACAGACTCTTCAACACTTTTTGTCCTAACCAGAGGCAAGCAACAATAATTTTGAACATTAATGGGACAGTTCACCCAAAAATGTAACTTCTGTTATAATTTACTCACCCTCAAGTTGTTCCAAACCTGTATGAGTTTCTTTCTTCTGTTTAAGACATAATAAGATATTTTGAAGAATGTTGGTAACCAAATAGTTTCCGGTAGCCATTCACTTCCATAGTAATTTTTCATACTGTGGAGGTCAGTGGCTACCACCAACTGATGGGTTACCAACATTTTGGGGTGAACTATCCCTTTAAAACATTTCTTCTGTCAATAGCTTCTGTTCTCATCATGTTGTGCTAGTTAGTCCTGCCCACAAATCTCATTGGTCCAAAACCCTACTCCATATTATTGTATATTACATAAGATATTCAGAATATACAAAATATATTTCAAAGATTTACTTTTCAAATGTCTATTTCAAATAAATGCCATTCTTTTGAACTTTCTATTCATTAAAAAAAAACGTTTCCACAAACATATGAAGCAGCACAACTGTTTTGAACATGGATCATAAGAAATGTTAAAGAATGATGTTAAAGTTGAAGACTGTAATAATGGCTGCTGAAAATTCAGGAATAAATTATATTTTAAAATATATTTAAATAGAAAACACGTATTTTAAATGGTAATTATATTTCACAATATTACTGTTTTTACTGCATTTTTTGATTATAAAATAAAAAATTATTATAATAAATGAAGCCTTGGTGAGCAGAAGAGACTTTCTTCAAAAAATTAAAAAATCTTACTGACCCTGAACTTTTGAATGGTAGAGTACACTGCAAACTTTTTCATGTACTAAAGCTCTATTCACAGTCAACTATGATATTTGTTGATACTTTTTTTTTTTTAATTTTAAACATTTTTAAAAAATATTTTTAAAATGTTTTATATTACGTTTATATTTTATTTGATAATTTTATCATTATTTTATAACTTTTTTAATTGAGGATAAATTACTGAGCGCACCTCAACATCAAATATGTTCTGAGAGATTCTATAGGATTGTGGGTAATTCGGACCCAAACATGGTAAATCAATCAATAACCTGCTCCAGAATGGTCTTCCTCTTCTTGGCGTCGGTGACAGCGGAGAGCTGCATGTCTCCCATTTTCTTCATCTTCTCATCCATGTCGATCTTCTGCTCCAGCTTTCGGATCTCGGCCCGCAGCAGACGCACCGTGTCTTCGCGGTGGTGTTGCCGAGCGACGGCCGCGGCGCAGGCCGAGTGGATGGCCGTGATCCAGTTCTCAAGCTCAGTCTGGCTGCAGGTCTACAGAAAGAGGTCAAAGGTTAAATAGCATATTAACACACTACTCTATTTTTTTTCTGGCAGTATGTAGTATGTATACTGTGCATGGTGAGAAAATTCTCTATATGCATGAAATATGTGGTATTTCAGCTGGTATACCATGGCATCCCACAATGCAATGCACTCAATTTGACTTTCCAGATTGACAAATAACTAGGGCAACCATAAGTCTTATTTTTCCCAGATATGTCTTGGCTAGGATTTCTAAACTGCCTAAAATGTGTTTCCTATTGTTTTCATACTTGCTGATGGTAATGACTGAAAACTAGCTTGACCAATAGCGTGCAGGCATTGTACATAATTGACCAATCGTGGTGTTTGAGAAGGCGGGATCTACAGAGATCGGTCAAAGCAATGCAAATGCGCGTGCATATAATGCATAAGGACAGTAGAGAGCACGTCAATAGCAAAACAAAGCCAAAACCCGGACATTTTAGGCAACTTATAAATCCCAGCCAGTGACAGTTATCTGTGAGTTTTGATCAGTTCTGCTTAAAGTTAGCAAATTAGGATAAAACATTTTTATTGTTAATAAATAAATGCGCCACATAATTTGTTGGGGCTTGACAACAAATTAGCACACTACTGTTAATTGTGACATATTGCATACTGTAAAAAATGGCATTTACATTTATGCATTTAGCAGACGCTTTTATCCAAAGCAAAACAAAAGCAATTTGTCAAAGATCCAACAATTATCATAATATACAATGGCAGGTTTATTAGACAACTAGACTAGGAAAACATAGTATGCAGTAAACAGTTTATATGGTGCAGTATGCACTAAGTGTGCTACTATTCTGAACATATCAGTGAGTCAGACGTTTATATATGAAACTCAGTCTGTTACATTATCTGTTCAGTATCAGTATATGAAGAGGGTTTTGCACTGGATGTTCAGCTACCTGAAAAAGGAAGGAGTCTCCGAGCGAGTTACTCAGGCAGAAGACGAAATCTTTTTTGGGGTGTTCTGGGACGGCCTGGACGATGCTGTTCTCGGCCCACACGGCATGTTTAGGGACACTGTTGTGATCAATGCCTGACCGGCCATCCGTCTCGTAGAAAAACAGAGTGCATCCTGGCAGAACAAATTAGGACATTCACTCAAGAATCAGAAATTCAAAGTTGTTCACGTGAGTTCAATTAACACTACAGATCGTCTCTCAGCCGCTGTTTCCAAGGGAACGAGAGCAGGATATCCAATAGATTGGAGTTATGCGGCTTTATTGATTGAACTCTGCTCTCCAGTGGCCAAAATAAGAAATGCAGCGCTGCTTTCTTAAACAGAATCCAATATAATGCGCACACACTTATTGGATTGTTTTTTCAGCTTTGATTTTGCTGTTTTCACACTGTTGGCAAAGATACAGAGCTTTCCAACATGTCTTACACTGTCTGTATCCAGTTATGAGGAACTTATATACAGTACATACACTATCGTTTGGGGCAAGTAAGATTATTTTTGAAAGAAATTAATAATTTTATTCAGCAAGAACACATTAAATTGTCAGTAAAGATTTTTTTTTGTTTTTAAGAAATGGGTATGGTAAAATAAATATGGGAAATGTGTTTAGTCACTTAGAAGCTGAAAACATCAAATTTGCCAGAATATTTAACAAACAAGCGTGTCAGAGTTAACATGGTGAATGATGGGCGTTCAATTCTCAAGAGCTTTTTCTGGACTTACCCATATAACAGCACACAACAAACATAATCCTCCTCTTCTCTTACAAACCTTTTCACAGGAAGTTGTAAAACCTGTTTATGGTGTCAGGTAACCGCTCGCATCTCTTTCAGAAACACCACACACACACACACACACACACACCTTTGAGGGACACCCAGTAGCTCTTCCACTTGCGGCGAGGCGCGAGCTCCACCTTCTTGTTCTTTTTATGCACCAGGAAGTTTTTGACGGCGAGGCGTCCGGCTTTGCGCACAGTTCCCTGCACGGCGGCCACATTCAGCAGAGGGTCGGTGTGGTAAGCGGAGCTCAGCGTCACGCTGCTCTGCTCGTCGCTGAACGCTGAGCTTCTCTCCTTGGGAACCTCCGCCGGACTCACGCTCTGCTCCAGCTCCTGACGGAAGTTCTCATAGACGCCCTGGTCAGACACACACAGGTCCAGGACGATTATTATCACCAAACAGACACACACAGGTCCAGGACAATTATTATCACCAAACAGATGCTAAACTATGTCACAAACTTACAAATAACATACAAATCGTATTCAATTTGGTCATAGTTTGTTCTTAATGACAACATAAAAAAGTACCTTATTTAATTATTAATTAAAGTCTCTGGTCTCTTATTGCACATAATTTACCTAATATTTTATTAAAGAGGTCATATGATGCGATTTCAAGTTTTCCTTTCTCTTTGCAGTGTTATAGGCTCTTGGTGTATATATAAACATTTTTATTTGCATATATTTTATTTTAATGAACATTACTCATTTGATGGAACGTTTACCTGTTGATGTTGTCACATTCATGCACTGATGTTGCATCTATCTGATGTTAATGTGTTTCTACTGATGTCTGGATGGAACATATTATGAAACAGGAACCGGGGAAACAGCAGTAATAAATAAATCACACTGCCCACCTGTGTGCCATCTGAGGGTCCCGCTCCAGCCCCGCTGCTGCTCCCACTGTCGCTCCCAGCGAAGGCACCCCCTGCTGACGTGGAGTAAGCGGAGAAAGACGCAGACATGGTCTTATAGCGTCGAGCGTGGTGCTGAGACGCCTCACTGTCCCCCGTCAGCCCATCGATACCGCTGTCCTCATAATCACTGCCATCTCCCGCCGTGACATCCTTAATACCAAATAAATATATGAATAAATGTGTATTTATATTGGCTAATTTACCATGATTATTTGTGATGATGGGATAATGATTTAATTTACACAATTTTATAGGTATACATTTAAATTTAACTTAAGAGTAAATTAGAGTAATTTCTAGCCAAAGAAACAGTTTTGAACTGAACAACTGAGCATAAAAAGACAAAATGGTTTTATATTAACTATAGAAATTTTAGAAAAAAAAAGAAAAATATTAAAAATGAATTAATATGAAAATATTTGAATTACATTTTTTTTTAACTTAATTTTTTTTTTTTCAGGCCTGGTAATCCCACTTTTCAAATTTCCTTAAGTTTCCAGGTTTTTCAGGGCCGTGGAAACACTGTATATATATATAAAAGTATTAAATGACAGCAAGTAAATGTACATAAAATGATCAAATATAGGCCCAGACGCAATATGTGAAGTAATTTTGGAGTAAAATCAGTGAAAGAGCCAGAACCAAAAATGAACATGTAATGAGTTCTGTGAATACCAGATTGTATAAAAAGACATGACATGTATCTAAATTTACTCAAAAAAAACAATTTTTTCTAGTTAATTAGCCTAGGACATTGGTTTTAACATGACTTACGGTACTTTACCTAAAACTAAGCAACAAAACCAATCATAGTTCCTGGATGTTCTTTCTCAGCAACTAAACGTGAGCCTTGTGATTTCGACAGACTCAAAAGATAAAGACTCAGTTTTCCACTCTAATAAACGTGGCTCTTCTCCAACACATCTTCAGTCCTCCTACCTGTTGGCCGGCGCGCGTGGTGTCTTCAGAAGCAGATGACGAGCTGCAGGTTATGAAGCGAACATTTTACAGAAGTTGACACAGGTCTGCCTGAGAGACCACAGCGCTGTCTGAACTCTGTGTGTCGAGTTATAGCGCAGTAAAGTTGACTGTACAATACCACTCTGTACTGCTGCTGGGGAATGATGGGATATTACCCACCAAACCCGGCATCTAGCGGGAGTCACATGACTGGACTGTGCGGCCCGGCATGCCATTCATCTTCACCGATGGAGCCTCACAGGGAGGCAGTGTCACACGGTGATTTCATCTTTTTCTTTCTAGCTGTAGCAAATACCTACATACAACTGAAACACTTTCTTGCACACACATATTTAAGCAAGAAATATAGTGAAAAATAAACCAGCATATCTAGAGCTCAACTCTCTCTACCTTTCCTCCTCGTTCACTCTCTCTCAATCACGTTCCTGTCAGTCACAGCTCATTAGCATGACAAAAGAAGCGAGCTGTTCTCACAGAAGTCTGACTCCAGGATCTGGATCATCTGAGAGAGAGCAGGAAAAAACAGCCACCACCACATGGACAGTGTGACAGAGCCACAATGCACTAGGGCTGTCAACACACGTCATAGAGAATGAGAGTTACTGTGGTGGTACTATGGTATAGTGATGTCAATGCTATGGTATTTTAATGTAGCATGGTATTAACAAAGTACTTAAAAATGTCCTTAAAATATACTACCTTGGTGCATGTCCAACTTACCATGGTAGTATAATGGTATAAAAAAAACTATTAAAAAAATTAATAAATACAATTATACAATATCTTTATATTATATCTATAAAAAATATATATGCCATATAAATGCCATATAAATAACGTTTTTAACGTTTTGTTATATATTTTATCTATTAAAAATAATATATAAATGTCATTATATTTTTATAATTATTTGATTTTTATATATATTTTATCAATAAAAAAATATAAAATATAAATGCTATTATATTATTTATAAAGTTTTGGCAAAATATTTACTACTTTTATAATTTTATCTCTAAAATCTGAATTAATAAATACACACACACACACACATATATATACATATACAAAAATATAAATAACATTACATTTTTATAAATATTTGGTATTTTTTATATCATCTATAAAAAATAGTAAATATAAATACTATTATTTTTTTTTTGTTGGCATTTTTATATTCTACCTATAAAAATATAAAATATAATTAACATTATATTGTTGTTAGTTTACACCAACAGTTGACTGGGATGAGCTTCTAGTGAAGTTATAATGCTGTCCAATGGGAAACTGGAGTCTGTGTGAACTTGCACACAAATGAGTCATTCATATGTTCAGTCTCTCTACATGAGGAGATTCAGAGGATTCTGGGGGATTAACCGCAGTCAACATTCACCGCAAGACTGAAATTCCCTGGTGTACACCTACACTAACACAACATTACACTCACATTATTACTGCACACCTACAGGCGTTCACACTGACACTCAAAGACTCCAATCATTCAAACAAAGCCATTCACTTTCAATGAGAGCGGCTGATCTGAAACAACACGAGTCGCTTCAAAGCTGTACAGTTCACTACCAAATTGATCATTTACAGAATGATTACATTTAGCACTCTTGTTACATTTCCGACGCGTGCTTGTGGTGTTCGGCCAATCACAATGCACTGGGTCAGCTGGCCAACCAGAGCAGACTGCGCTTGTCAAAGGAGCTTTGTTGAAAACGACATGTTTGAGAGAGGCGGGGCATAGAGGACCTACAATAATGTACAGTATTTGAAAAATAATGTGTTTTTTGAACATTAAAGCATGTCAACATATTCTGTTACACCAAATACACAAAATAATGATCTTTAAATTAGCATCATATGACCCCTTTAAATAATATTAATAAATAATAAAAAAATTATATCAAAATAGTAATAGTGTTTTGTGCCTCTGGTGTTTTATTTATTTGGATATGTTATTTATTTGAATCCCTCTTTGTTTGTATCTCTAACATACCTTTGTAAGCGACCTCTGTATATTACTTTCAGCCCTTGGTATGTATATTGTGCTGTGATGTTGATGTTTATTTGGTTCTGTTCCTTAAACCTGTCTCTGTAAAGTGACCTTGGGTGTTGGAAAGGCACTATATAAATAAAAATTATTATTATAATTATTATCATTTATTTCTAGATAGATAGATAGATAGATAGATAGATGTTTAAGAGGCACCGAACAGGCCAGACTTTTTCTATTAGCATTTTCTGCACTATTTTTTGGGGAATGGATATAACAAAATAAACAAAAAAAAGTTATAAATAAATAATTAAATACATACATACATACATAAATAATGCCAAGATGTGTCAGAGGCCAGACAGATTTTTAAAATCATTTTCTGCACAATTTTTTGGGGAATGGATATGGTCAAAATAAATATGGGAAATTTTAAATAAATAATGCAGTGATTCAAATTTTTTTATCAGCATATATTTTATTTAAATGAACATTAATTATCTGATGGAACGCTGGCTATAGTGAACATCATGTCACAATATTTCATTAAAATGTAAAAGCATTTGGTGCCTCTGAAAAATCTTGGTGTTTTTAATTTATTAAAAAATAATTAAAAAACATGAAA